GCCCAGCCCTGCCAGCTCTGTGGCCGGTCACCGCTTGGGGAGGCCCCACCAGGCACCCCACCTTGCCGGCTTTGCTGCCCTGCTGCAGCCCCCCAGGAAGCACCAGCCTCTGAAGGCAGAGCCCTTGGGGAGGAAGAGGAAGAGCCCCCTCGGGCTGGGGAGGGCCAGCCAGCTGGGCGAGGGGAGGAGGAGGAGGAAGAGGAGGAGGGCACCTACCACTGTACCGAGTGCGAGGATTCCTTTGACAACCTCGGGGAGCTGCATGGCCACTTCATGCTGCACGCCCGGGGTGAGGTGTAGGCGAAGCCCCCAGCCAGGAAGCATGGCGGAAGGGGTGGGTGGGAGGAGGGCAGTGAGGAAGTGGGAGTGGTCACGGTGGTTATGGGGGCTGGGGTACCACAGGTCTGTGTTGTCTTAGGAGTAGATGTGCGAAGGCCAGAATAAAAGCCACATTCCAAGAGTGTTGGTCCAGTGTGTGTTTGGGGTGTGTCTGTGTGATCTGCACAGTGCCCCTGGACTCCTCCTCTGCACCTCAGGATCTTGTGGCCAAGAGAACTAACATTTATAGTAGGGCATGGTGGCCCATGCCTATAATCACAGCACTTTGGGAGGCTGAGGCAGGAGGATCATGTTTGAACCTACGCTGGGCATCTTAATGACTTAGTAAGGCCCTGTCTCAAGTCAGATTTTAGAAAAGGGCTGGTACTGTAGCTCAGTGTGAAGGCCCTGGACTCAATCCCAGGACTACCAAAAGAAAGTTTCACTAGGTGCTTATGTGCCACTTGGTTCCACGTATTTACCCACAGACTCTGGAATGCAGAAACACCAACACCACAGGATTTTGTTCTGGCTCACATGATGGTCCCAAGTGGGTGATTTGGGACCAGCACTCCCATTAAGCCTGTCATCACGTCAGGCTGGGTGGCTGTGTCTGGGTCCTGCTGGTGGAAAAGGACAGGGAACCTAGAGCAGTACAAAGTAGCATGAGAGAGCCTGGGCCTGGCAGTAGCATGAGCTGCGTCTTTGCATCTTTGCAGAGAAGTTAGTCACATGGCCCCAGTCAGCTGCAGAGGAGTCTGGGAAGTGCAGTCTAGCTAATCTTCGGAAAGCAGAGAAGTTTGTGGGGACAGCTTGTGCTCCCTGACATATTGCCCAAGGACTCACACAGAGAAGGCTTCAATTGCAATCATACTGGGCTTCCTGTGTGCTTCCTGGTGTCTGGTGCCAGGCCACGGGCCTTTAGCTACATGGACTCATAGAAAAGGTGTCTAAGAGCTTAGAAAACCAGAACCTTAATAGTAAGCACAGCTGCCATTTTTCCTAGCACTTACACAGTGCTACACTTTATTTGCAGGTCACTGGTTTTTAGAATAACTCTGTGAGGTAGGGACTGTAATCCATTAATTCATTTAACAAATATTTTTGGGCCAGGGATTTCGCTCAGTGGTGCTGCCGTCCGACTCACAAGTTTAAGGTTCTGAGTTTGATCTCCCGTACTAAAAGAAAACAAAAAAACCCCACAAATATTTGTGAGTACCTGCTGTGTGCTGAGTATTGGGACTGTACCAGTGAATAAAATAATAGCCTCATCTTCCTGAAGCTGACGTGGGTCAGGGGACGGCTCCTGGTGGAGACAGACAGTAAACAAACAAGATACAGCATATGGCAAATGGTAGTAAATCCTGTCAAGAAAATAAAGTAGAGGGCCGGGGATTTAGCTTAGTGGTTCTGCCGCCTGCCTCACAAGTGCAGGGACCCGAGTTCGATCCCCGGTACCAAAAA